AGGTTAAATGAAATTTCGAAAAAAAAAAAAAAAAAAAAAAAGATTCTCAAAAGCAAAATCATTACAGGCTAGCTGCAAAACAAGCAGATTCCCATCCATCTAGAGACAAAGAACTACAAGTATATTTATCCATTCTATAACTTGTCTGTCTGTTATCAGTGAAAAAAAAGCAAGTGAAACTCACTTGTACAAGTATTAATTTCATCTGGAAGTGACCTGATTTCATAACTACATATATGTAAAGGATGCATGTTTAACTCACAGATTTTAGTGTTTTCACCGTGTGTTCTTCTTTATCTTGTTCTGCCAGCGTCAAATTTGAATCTACCAAAACAAAAAATTGAAAGCAAGAGATGCATTAATTTTTTATAATCATTAGCGCAAATCCAGCATTTTAGCTCAACTGTTGTAGCCCAAAGGGGCATTTTGTACATGTTTTCTAGTTTGACTAGGCGAAAACCATACTATTTAGTAACAGTAAACTTAATCTAGAAGCGAATCAGTTAAAAGTTTTATCTTCAGATGCAGTCCAGGATTAGGAGAAACAGTAGCAGTTAAGTTACTCTCAGATGAGTGAATGAAAAAGGAAGCATGGGATACCTTTTCCCAGAACTGTCTTACTAAGAAAATTTGAAAACAGGGACAATTTGACTATACCTATAGGCTAAAGAAATAAGTGTGTAGTTACACCAATTGCAAACAAAGAGTGTGCTTTCTCCCATCTGACCACTGCTACTAAATCACATAATTGCATGTGCATAGAATGCAATTTGCCATTATCCTGTGAAATCAAAAGTAGTTTTCCCTGAAATTACATTCCTTCCAACTGCAAGGATGATTTTAATCCTTTAACCATTCTACACTTGAAAAATACCACAGTGGCCAGAACCTACTCCTTCATCCCAGCAAATATACTTCAAAGCTGAAATGAAAGCTAGAAATTCAGCCTAAAAGGTCAAAAAAACACCCAAAGCAGTTCCTCATAATATTAGCAAACAACTTTAAAATATCACTGCACAATATTAATTCTAATAAGTAGATACCTTTGCTTCCTCAAGCTCTTTATCAGCAGTATTCAATAGCAATTCTTTTTCTGCCTGCTCAGATAGTTTGCCAATTACAGCAAGTTGTTTACACAGATGATAATTTTTACAGGTGAATCTACCCACTTGCCTTTCCACCTCGTGCTTCTTATCAAGAAGTTGTATGACTTGTTGCCTTAGTTCATGGTTTATCCTCTTCAGATCTTCAGTCTATGAGGACAAGGAGGAAGAAAGTATTTTACTTCATCTTTAAGGACTTGCAGGGAGTATTTAATAAGAAGAAGTAATTTATGCTTAACAAAAAAAAAAGTATACATTGTTCAAAAATTAATAATATGCACACTACTAGCACCATTTTGAACACATTAATTTTGAAGGGTTCTGGACCACGGAGAATTTGATCCTTAACGTTTATGCTAAAAACTGTCTCAAGCTGGGCTGCCACTACAGTTATTCTCCTGTAGTACTGTGCGAGAAAATGTCTCTCTAGGCCTCGTCTCAAGTTTCCAACAATTACTCACTATGGTTCTGTTAGATCTTAGGAATGCCCTTCAAGTATCTTCTTTGAGTTGGGCCCAGGTCCTTCACACATACTTCACAAAGGCCAGCAGAAGTGTAGCATTACTAATGTGAATTCATCAGTTAATCAATATATGATTAGTAATTTCCTTGAAACAATGTTGTCCTTTTAGAAAAATATTATATGGCCTTTTCGTAAGAAACCAGAAGTTGCTAACTATTTTGGCACTATCAGCTTAGTGTAACATCTCCGTCTAAAGGAACATTACTGCCTCATACAGCTTTTCACTTTTCTGAGTCCCCACATTTCTAAAATCCCATCTTAATCAAGACAACGGATACAGTGTGATGCAGAAATTCCACTGCTTGCACAGGCTGATCCTGTAATGTGTGAGAAATCAGTATCGCTGAAAAATTAATTCCGAGAGGTTCACTTGATTCTAATAGTCAAAGAGTTTTCTTCAGGTACTACCATCAGTGCACAAAACCCCATTTTGACTTATCTAGGAAGACCTACATTTATTTAGGAAGACCTTTTTGTGACAAAAGCTTTCTGAGTGGGCTCTGTCCTGTTACATTAGTTAATTTTGCCACTTCTTCTGTTAAACGGGTATACAAACATATATTATGGATTTATTTTAATTGAATTTTATTTTTATGTTTCCATCAAGCCTGATCCAGCACAGTTTTAAATGTGAAAACATGTTCATTATGGTTTGGTTGAGTGGGAAAGTAGTTTAAAAAAACCCAAAACCCAAAAAACTCCACCACGCCACAGAAAGCATCCACGAAGGGCAGTAGAGACAGCATCTGTACATCTGTGGTTTGGGATTCCTGCACTTTTATTAAGTTACAAAATTTGTAATAGCTCTGCTATTACAGGAGGACATTCACAACGATGCCTGTTTACACAGTGGGAAGAGGAGTGCTAATGAAGGGCAGGGAGGTTAAATCCTACTCTTCATCTGAATGTACAAACAGCACTTAAAATGGCAAAACTGAAGTCCAAGTCATGTCTACGCCCTCAAGCCTCAAGTAACTGACTACACCAGAAGTGGTTTTGTTGCTTCATACAGCCAACCTGTACCACATCTTAAGGGTCTTTTCCAACCTAAATGATTCTATGATTCCCCCCCTTATCTTCTCTTGGATAACCAAGATATTTATGGCAAGCACTCAGAAATACCATCTATAGAATACAAAAGTAAGAGTTCTTCATGGAAAATACCATTTTAGCAATTTACTCTGTTTTATACAGATAAGAATTATAATTTAAACACCTTAACTAATTACAATTGTGCTCACAATGCTAAAAAATGCAAGGGGTCTGCGAGCAGACAAAATTACTGATCACTTAAGGCTTTACAGACTCAAAACTCAAAAGCAGACTATCAAAAATGCTCATAGCCATAAAAAAAATCACAAAGTACAAACAACCTTCACTCCTGTCATGTCACTGCATTCTGCTCTAGCTCATGACAGCTTGTTGCAGCAATATAAACTAGGGAGGAGAACGTTGCCATTTAATTTCCTAGGCACAAAAGGATGCAGAAAAGCATCTTTTTCTACCTCAGCTATATCAAAACAGAGGAAATACCTGATGATTAGAAACATGAACATAAATCATGAATTATCTCTATCAGCATCCTCTCAAATATAGAGCGTGGCCAGAAAAAGATGTCAGTGTTCAAATTCTGTTCAGTTCAGCTGACCGTAAGGATATGGAGCTAGCTACCATCAGCTCACAGTACTGCCACCTGTGTTCCCTTACACATCCACAAACACTTTGAAATACAAGATGGAAGAGAGAGATGGAGTGCTCTCTGCCAGCTTTCTCAGAATAACTATGACAAAGCAGAGTCGCTGGAATGAGTCCCCCAGTGACAGACGAACGAGCCATAGTGAGACAGGGCGAGTGGCAAGCACACCAGTGCCTCACAGGGCTATTCAGTGCCTGACAGTCTGCTCTTGTTATAATATGGGAAGTATCCCGCAGGTTTAACAACAGAACGTGAACATTCAGTTACCCACCAGCAGGAAGTTATCACCACCAGCATGACCACAACAGTTTCTCTCCATGCTCAGTTTCACGAGTTTCAAGGAAATTTAGAGCAGCTGGTTCGACGAGGTATTTGCTACAACATTCAGCTTTGTCTGAATCAAGTCTCTGCCACCAATTCAGCCTGGCCTCAATGTGTTTTTAAGCACCAGTATAAGTGACAGTTTCGTTTAGGACTAAGCTGACTTAATTTTGGGTATCTACAGGGAGGCATTTCCACAAAGTGTTTCCTGTGATCGATTTTAGGCATTCATCCTAAAATTAATGATGCCCTAGGAGTACCTCTGACAATACAGACAGGCTCTATTACAGTCATCATCACCGTTGACATGTCAAATTAGATGAGGTGAATCCCATCCTACTATTCTGTTCTCTCCAAAAGAGGCACTGACAACTTTCTCCAGTTACATGTGTTGCCCTAGGCTTTCCAGAAAGGGAAGAGAACAGATCAGAGTAATTTGCAAGCTCTCAGTGCCTTCAGTACCTCGCTGAGCATTGAGGACTTAAATATAGAATACAGGAAGACAGAATACATACTATTTGCTCACTCACAATACTGCTTTTACTCAACTTGTGAAAGAGCACCTTTCGAAAAACATGATCATCTTTAGATATCCTAAAGTAACTACTACTTATGCTTGCCATAAAGCAGTAAGATCTAACACTGCCGTTGGCACATTTCACCACCACCCTCTGAGCTGTGATAACGCAACCCCCTTGCAACTGGGATGAAACTCCACGGTAGGACCACTCCACGCAGCGCCGCAGACACCTGCAGCAGGCCTTGGAGCACGGATTCAGAGTCGGCAAACTTTTTGGACTGAGGAAGCCCTCACTGAGTTCCAACTACGTCAGTGACTAACCATTTAAGCCGCCCCTTGTTCTCCACAGCGTACACAGCAACCGTACCCCAGACGCCGGCACCCCCCCGCGCCACCGCCCTCC